GGTAACTTCTTGAGGGGACCAGGCCCCTTGCATGTGGCCCAATGGGCTCCCCAACCCATCAGCCTGGCATCTGTTGTGATCTGTATGTCTGTGGTCACTTGGAAGGGTTTGTCTACAAGCATTTCTTGGTTGTCTGCCAAAGGAGGCCCTTCCTGAGATGCTAACTCTGATGTACTTTCCGAGGGCTATGGGCCTCTAATATGGCAATAGCATCCACTGAAGTACCTGAGAGTGTGCCCAGGCCCAGGAGACTGTCTTAATGGCTGTAATCATGTAACCTAGCAGATGCGCTAGGATCATCAAGTCTGTTGATTTCACAGAGCAAACCTATTTCATGGTCTGAACGATCTTCTCTGCTCTGTCTAGTGGAAGAAACATTTTTTCTGGATTGAATCTATCACTGCCCCAAATGGATAACTTGAGCAGGTGTTAGTTGGCTCTTCTGGAGGCTGATTCGGAAGCTGTGACTGGAGAGGCACTGGATAGTGTCCTGGATATCCCTGAGTGCCTGCTCTTGTGAAGGTGACCTTGTAAGGTGGTCATCGAGGAAGGGATGCAGGCTTGCAACAAGTGAGATTATCAGTTTTGTGAATATCCGGGGTGCTGATGCCAACCCAAATGGCATGGCCCTGAACTGTGTTTTCAACTGAAGGCGAATCTCAGATACTATCTGTCCCAGGGACTTATGAACATCATTCAAATCAGTGGAGGCCATGAAGTCCTCCAGCTGCAAGGCTTCCACAATGGCTTCAAAGTCTGCATTTTGAACTTCCTGTACCTCACAAACCAGGAATTTGAGGTCAAGGATAACCCTCCAGTCCCCGTCCTTTCTGAGAACTATGAGAAAAACAGAATAAATGCCTCAGAACCTTTGCAACGATGACAGATTTGATGGTGGCGATCTCCAGCAGATGTCTGATGACATCCTGTGTGCGCTGTCTCTTGATGGGGCAGTGAGGGACTGGGGAGCTCAGGAATCTGTCATGAGGTGGGGTGACAAATTCTATTTAATATGCATAGGTTATGGTTTCTTTTACTCATTTGACAGTGGCTGATAAATTCCAGGCTTGATGAAATTTTTGAAACCATCCACCTACTGGACTCCAACATACCCCGGACGGGGTGACGGGTGGAGTCAGGAGGAGGTAAAAAGGGGGGGGGGGAGGCAGGTTGAAAAAGAGAAAAGGTAAAGAATGAAAAGTTGAAAAGGCCAGAGAATTGGATCAGGAAAAAAAAATTAATAGAAACACGAGTGCTAGTAAAGTGCTGCTCTCCCTATAGGGGCAGGAACTAAACTGAGTTAGGGGGCGTGTCCCACCAAGAGGACAGGAAGTGAAGTTTTGTTCCTGCCTCCCTAAGGATAGGGTGGGAAACACCCAGCAAGATGTCCTCCTCTCAGGGGAGAAGCTCTTATTTCCAAGTGCCTGGAAATATCAAATAGGATTTAAATCCCTTCACTTGTTCATTGAATGTTCTGAGTCTTAACAGCAGCTATTCTCCTTTTCAGAGCTCCTATCTGCTTCCCCCTAAGAACAAGAGCAGGCTAGTAACACTTAAGCTCATAATGTAGACACTGCAAGCTATGCTGGGTATCAGAAAGAAGATATTGCAGCTTTAACAGAAAAGTTGGTAATACAAATTGTATGGCTGTCTCAGTGAAAATTCTCCTTGCTCAAAATGAGTGTAAAAAGACAGGGTTGAAAGTTCACCAGTGTCTCTTACTCAAGAGTATTTTTTTAAAAAGTCCCTGAGTCAGGCTCTGCTGGTATATACTATATTAACATTTATATTCAATCTTTAATCTTAGTGTGCTTTGAAACGGAAAGATTTTAGGCTGCAAACTCCTGCTCAACTTTGTAGTTTGAGTAAATATTATGCCTTCCAGTTCACAAAAATTCTTATGAGGTCTGCCCAAGCTGTCATGTTTGCTGAAGTCGGCAACATATAGCAGGGCAGTCAGTATGTCCACACCACCCCTGTATTACATATTACTGTTGCTGACTGTCAGAGGATAATTAGGGGGGGAAAGGTTTTCCTGTTTTTAATTTCATGAAGCATCTTAATCATAAGGTTAAATTGGAAGAAGCTGAGCAGAATAAAGTATTCACAACATTTAAGCTGGGGGGGGGGGGGGTCCCCAACTGTTTTGCACCAGTGAAGGAGGTAGAACCAACTACAAAATGTCAGGGAGTGAGGTTATGCAGATATAGCTAATCAACATTCAGGCAGAATCTGTTTAACAGGATGCTTTTAAAAATGAACATACTATTTAAAATATTTTCTTGCACACACACAAGCATACATATTGAGCTAGCTAAGAAACAGTCGTCTGGTAGTATCTGTAATACTTCCAATGATCATTCAGAAGCTCTCCTAGGCAAAAGCCCCACCTGGCCACAAATACTTTCTTAAAGCCCTTGGCAGGAGCTAGGAAAGGTATCAGCAGGTGCCATGACACCCATGGGCACCATGTTGAGAACCCCCTGGTTTAAGCACATTAGTAAACAACAAGAGTTAGAAGAGGAGGCTCATAAGGATTGGGAGAGGCTTCCCTATCACGCTGAAGCTTTCCTGCATGAATAGGGGGTTCCTGCCATCTGCGAGACATTTCTGCCCTGTCCCCACCATCCATTTTCTGGCGGTATAAACACATACCATATATTGACTTTGTACTACTCCATTTATTAGTAATTTACTTGTACCCTTCACACATGATGAATTTCACGGCTTCTGGGTTCCTTGCTCATTTCAGGGTGGATACATTGCTCGGTACCAGAAATATAGAGGCTTCCTTGGGCAGTTCAACCAGACTACTTGCCTACTCAACCCATGCCCTTCCTGGTTGGTGAAAGCCTGCGGGGAGAGCATTCGGATCCCTTTGGGATAAATTATCAAGTTGTCCCTTTCTACTTGGACTTCCCCAGAGGCTTTGAAGAAGGCAGTAGTTCGCCCACTCCTGAAAAAACCATCATTGGACCCTATGGTCCTAACCAACTACCGCCCAGTGTCGAACCTACCATTCCTGGGTGAGGTGGTTGAGAGAGTGGTGGCTGAACAACTCCAGGCTTTCCTGGATGGCGCTTCCATCCTTGATTCCTTCCAGTCCAGCTTCTGCCCCAGTCATGGGACAGAGACAGCTCTAGTTGCCCTTACAGATAACCTCTGCAGATATCTGGATCGGGGCTGCTGTTACTATTAGCGGCGTTCAATACAGTCGATTACGATCTATTGACCCACCGCCTCGCCAACATAGGGGACTGCCTTGAAATGGTTTTCCTCCTTCCTCCATGGTCAGGAACAGAGAGTGGCGCCTGGCGAGAGGATCTCCCCGCGATACCCACTAGAATGTGAAGTGCCAATGTTATTTAACATCTATATGCATCCCCTCGCCTAGTTAGTCCGGAGTTATGGGCTGGGTTGTCATCAATATGCTGATGACACCCAGATCTATCTTTTAATGGACGGCCATCTGTCTTCCATTTCTATGAACTTGGCTGAGGCTATGGATGATTGTGGCAGAGTTGACTGAAGTTAAATCCATCGACAACAGAGGTCCTGTACCTGTGTCGAGGGGGGCTGGATGTGGGCAGCAAGCTCTCCACACTGGAAGGGGTGCCTTTGGTGGCGGCCCAGACAGTAAGGAGTCTGGGAGTGACACTGGATGCCTCTCTATCCATGGAGGCCCAGATTACTGCAGTTGCCAGAACTGCATTTTGCCATCTTAGGCAGACCAGGCTACTGCAGCCCTATCATTCCCCCCAAGACCTAACAACGGTAACCCATGCAATGGCCACTTCCAGACTTGATTACTGCAACTCGCTCTACGCAGGCTTACCCTTGAAGCTGATCCGGAAATTACTACTGGTGCAGAATACGGCGGCCTGCTGATGTCAATGCCTGTGCTGGCTCATGTTAGGCACGAGCTCTGCCAACTGCATTGGTTACCAGTTGAGTACCGGATTCGCTCCAAGGTGCACTGCTGGTTTGGACCTTCAAAGCCTTATACGGCCTGGAACCAACATACCTAAGGGACCGCCTCTTCCCATAGACACCTTGAAGAGCGTTACGCTCAAACGATCACCACCTCCTGGTGGTCCCTGGCCTGAAGGATGCCCGTCTTGCCTCAGCCAGGGCTTTCTCTGTCCTGGCCCCAGCCTAGTGGAACATGCTCCCTATTGAGACCAGGGCCCTGTGGGATTGTCTTCAATTCTGCAGGGCCTGCAAAATGGAGCTGTTCTGCCAGGCCTTTGGCTGAGGCAGCAGGCGCCCATATATGGCGTCTGGGGTTGCTGTCACCCTTCTGTCACCTGTCTACTGACCACAGACAACTGGCCTTTAACTCATGGTACCATCGGGCCAGAACTTTATAGCCAACTGATGCTGTTTCAAGCTGTACCCATTGTTTTAATTGTTATGTTTTATCATGTTATAATGTTTTAAACTGAAATTGTATTTATTCTAATGATGTTACCCGCCCTGAGCCCGCCCACGGGATGGGCAGGATATAAATACAAATAATAAACATTTAAAAAATCAAATTTTATACTTTTACACTCACTATGAGGAGTTACAGTGTAGCATACTTACACATGTGTCCTGATTTTAAGTATTAGGTGGCTCAAGACATGTTAGGTAAATTTCAAAACAATTTATCTATGCAAGGCACCCTTGGATGTTCTCCTGTCTTTCCCTTAAGTAAAATCCAACAAATTTAACCAATTATATATATTAGATACCAGAAGGCTATAATGATACAACTTAAAATTTATTTTATGAAGGAAAGTCTACAGTAATAATTTCAGGCCACACTACTAAAGAGAACCTAGTTAACCATTTCAAAATTATATGGAATTATTGTGAACAGCAAATATATTTGCATGCCAAAAAAACTAAGGCGTGAGTCTGTGTCCTGACAATGGGGCTGCAAAAAGATAAAGTACAATTTAAAGAGAGCTTGGTTTCATATACTTTAACCAAATAACTTCAAATATCATCCATACTGCCATCAAAATGATTTTATCAAACACATACCAAGCTGCAATTTGCAGTATACAATTAGTTTTCCCACAGTATTCCTTCCAGTAATATTTACTTACTACATTGAGAACTATAAACTCTGGTTTAGGGATACATACTGAAGTGTAACTGAAGATACAGGTCAACATTGTCCCAAAACAGGCAGATAGACGGTTATTCAAATAGTAGATTTCTACTGAAATACAACGTGCAACTTCAAAACAAACCAATTCTTTCATCGCTTTCCATTAGATTTAAAAGAAATCCACTGGCTTAAAAAATAAACGATTTACAAAATGTGTCAACACTTTGGGAAGCCTACTTAGTTTTGTTTAAAGACATTTACGTACATAAAGCTACAACAATTACACTTGAGGAATTACAATAAGAGATGGGAAACTGATATTTCAACTGAAAATACATATATTCTAAGTGAACCCATATATCTTTAATGGGGTTTAGGGTAACTGCAGGAGATCTATAGGAAAAGTTAGGTCAGAACTTGCTGTTTAAAAATCATGTTTGCAAATGTAACTGGCTTCTGTTCTTCAATAGCGCCCTGAAAGGAAACAGAAAGAACATGATAACCATCATACTCCCACATTCACTCATTTCCCCCATCTCCCAGTAGCAATGCTTACCATCGGCACTCATTCTATCACACTCCAAGAACTTTCACCATGCTAAAAATATATATCTACTCAACACAAATGCATACTTACTTGGGCTGTAGGAACGAGATCTTGATCGTGATCTGTAACGGCTATAATACGGAGAAGGAGATCGCCTCCTTTGAAGAGAAGAAAGTAGTTTTATTGACAGTAACTCATACCCATGTTTCCACATACATTTCTGGTGCATACACATTATTTAAGTTTAATACACTTATTTGCTGTCAAATGGTTTGTAAAGTGTACGAGTGTTCCCTCAGACAAAGCAAACTGTTGTATGTGCAACATACACAACACAATGAACACGTACAATGGCTGATGTGGAAATGTTTCTATTAAACGTTTAATTACAAAAGCAAGTCTCTTTTCCTTAATTCTTTACATTAAAGGTGTTTTCTCCCCCACTTTACAACAGCTATTTTTCAGTTTCATAGCAACTATGAAACCAGCAGGCTGCTAAATCTCTTACTGACAGCATTATCAAACTACTGAGAAGAGACATCTTTCTACATATATTCTGGCTGAATGAAAAGCAACTCATTTTTTGGCCCTATGCTCAGAAGCTATTATTTATATGCATGAGCATATGCTAAATACACTTATTTTCAGATATGCATCAGACCCTACATACAGTAAACAGTAGATTATGTAGATGTACAATTTTTTAAAAAAACTTAACTAGAAGACACTGGCAGAACATGATGTTTGCTATAATGATTCTGAGAGCATTTACAAAAAACATACCTATAGCGATAATCGTACTCTTCATATCTGTCATATCCTCTGTCATAGTAGGAATCACGTCGACGGCCAGCTCCTCCACCTCCACCACCACCTCCACTGCTTTTAGAGCGGAAACAAAAAATACATTATGAAAGTATACGAAACACTGTATTTTGTCTGTTTATTTATTTTTCATATTTATACCCAGCCCTCCCCAGTCTTAAAAATCATTTAACTGAACCTTTCAGAATGAATCCTTTCAACTACTGCAGAGATTACAATATGAGAAGCAAATAGTCTGCACTGTTATATATCTACTGATTCTCAATTCCTTAAGTCAGAGATCTAACATTTAAGCAAGAAATGAAGATAGCAATTTATTATTTAAATTATTAGCTGTCTTTCTATCTCGTGGCACTCAAGATGGTTTACAATATAAATAAAACAACACTTACAAAACACATAAAAGACAACAGCTTAAAAACTCAATTAGGATTGCCAATAAATAAAAACTAACTAAATAAATATCTTACTGGGTTGGCCTGCCCATGTAAATGCCTGGAGTGGGTGTGTGCGCTCTCTTTGTGATGGAGTAATCCACACGTATCCTCCTACCATCCAGTTCCATTCCATTAGCATGTTCCATTGCCTACAAGGAAATGAGATACTTTAGCTCTAAGTAACAAGAAATCAGTACTTATTCTCATTAAGCAAGAGTGAGCTAGTCTGGCGTTACTAGTATGGTGCCAATTGGAGTGGGTAAGCTCTTCTCCACCAGGCAGAATGAAAACATCCCCACCACATTTGGGGCACTCAAGATAGTAAAATGTGATCATTTTTCAAGTGGGCTTTCTGCTAACAAGCAAAAAGCTGATAGATCCCTGACACTTCGCCTTTAAACAAATCAAAAAGGTAAACAAGCAGTAATTTTCTCTGAAGTAGACTAGATCCTTGCAAGACTTGCTCTGACTGAAGCCACTAGGTGATGAACTGAAGGAGAAACATGAAACAGTGTGGCTTCCTTCAGGGTGCACATGGCTGGGTTACTGCTAATCAGCTGCCATTTTATGCTTCCCCCATCTCCTGACAGCTGGCTTACAAGAGCCAACTCCAGCAGAGTTTAATGAAATGGCAGGTGCAGCTTCTATGACCACTATCTTTCTTTTCCACTCACTCACCACATACAACTTAACCAACCAACGTATTAAAGAGAATGATTCTACAGAAAGCTCCATCTTTTCTATTCTCCTCAGGCTCAAAGTTTCCTGCTTATGTAAGCTTTGTATCAACCAATGACTTTTTAGCCCTATTTTTAACTATACACATTTGACACAAAGATCTACAGCAGTTAATTTACTGAAATACAATTAAACTACCTGATTGTTGTGCCTTTTTATAATTATAAAGGACTTTTTTCTTTTCATGCTTATAAAGAAGAACCCCTCATTGATTTAAAGATATTCACTTGATTTTGTGCAAAAATATTTTTATCTGAAACCAATAATTTATTAATTAAAATTATAGCAAAGTAACTTACAGTGCAATCCTATGAAGAATTACTCTGGGCTATGCTCACTAATTGCAATGGGTTTAGACCAGATTAACAGGATGACACTGTTAGACTTGTATAAAACAGATCACTATACCAGAGCCCCAAAGACCCGTAAGTTTAAAGAAAAATCACTCATAGCACTGTTCTGTGGACTCTTGTGCAAGTAGCAGCACAAAAGCTGCTTTTTCCATTGGCACACGAACACTTAGCAAAAGGTATAAAATAGGACACCTCTGGTTCAAACCATAACTATTTTTATACTGCATTAATTTTGTTGCGATTTGAAAACCCTTTCTTGGTTTTTCTAAGAATTTAGGATTTAAGAAAAACAGTTCCACATGGTCACCGTTAATACCTTAATAAAGGTTAAGTCCAGAAACTTCTACTCTGCCCTTTACCATATTCTGTAACTGGATTAAATGTAGGCTGCAGTGCCACCTTGTGATTTCTTTCCTTACAGACACACTGTTTTGAAAGAATCCGCTCCCACCAAAAAGAGAACAAGCCAAAAACGTGTAAAATAAGCAATTAAGAGCATCATGCCCTCTATATTCAGATCATATATACATACTACATTAAAAGCTGAAAAATTATGTTTTCCAAAGAGACAGTACCATATGCCAGTTACTCTGTCACCACTTTCAATCACTTCAAAGACAGGAGGGCAAAAGCTACTAAAAATACAATAACCAGATTGAGTTTGATATACTCAAGCTATACCTAATGATGTACCTGAAAGTCCTAAGACAATATTTGCAGTCAGTATTAAATATTCAAGGGAAACTGTACTGAAACAAGTTATGAGAGGCCTGAGAAAGTATATTACTACAACTGTTGATATGAAGTGGCCGCATTTAAGACATGAACATGGTTTTGGTTAATGCTAAGGGTATTTCCTCATGGATCACTGCCTTGTCGTGGTGAGGGGGCTTGTGTGGTTCAATGAGGCTGTGGGCTATGCCGTGGAGGGCCACCCAAGACGGACAGGCCACAGCAGAGAACTCAGACCAAGCGTGATCCCCTGGAGAAGGAAATGGCAACCCGCTCCAGTATTTTTGCCAAGAAAACCCCATGGATAGTATCAAAAAGCTAAAAGATATGACACCGGAAGATGAGCCCCTCAGGTCGGAAGGTGTCCAATATGCTACTGGGGAAGAGCAGAGGGCAAGTACAAATAACCCAATTAAGAGTGAAGCGGCTGGGCCAAAGACGAAAGGACGCTCAGTTGTGGATGTGTTTGAT